TGCGAAGCGACGCAACGCGAGGGCAGCGACACGGCGAGGCAGAGCGGCCTGGCGGCAACGGACCGGCAAGGCGTCAGGCCCGCGACGGCAACGGCAGCAGCACGGCGGGGTAGAGCGGCCAGGTCAACCGGCCCCCGGCATCCCACCGAGCATGCCGGTGCTCGTGTGTGAGTGCGTGCATGCGTGTGCTGGACGAGCCGGCGCTGCGATGCCGAGTGCCCGAGGCACGGTGACCGCGCCCACGCGATGAAGCCAGCCGAGAGCATGCTGCGCACGATTTTTAAAGCGTTCTAAAAATCTAAACCTTTGATCCAATCACCAAACCACCTTTTCTATATTTACGAGGGCATATTAGGCTACTAAAACAAGCCATAAAACCACACCACTCCTTAACCCAATTTCTCTATAAAAATTGTCAAACATAGTTTTGCCAAACTATTTTTTAGCCTTAGAAATTTGACTAAGTCTTGATCGGATTCGCGTCAAATTCGATTTCCAAGCTTTTAGACCAGTTATCTAGTGAATTCATTTTTCGATCGTAGGTATTTTATCGTCATCTACAAAATTTGTACTACAAACTTTATTCAAGTAGCGCATGCATGTTCTATAGCATTTTTGCTTGATAAAAATTGGTTTTAAACCCTAAGTAATATAACATGGCAATGGAATTTAACTTTCGTTATGCATTTCGGTTGATCGTTTCAAGTTACGAAATTTGATCTAACCACTATATTACATGCATTAACACTTAAACATGATGCTCATATAGTGTTTTAACAAAGGCCACCGGATTCATCAATTATTCACATCAGCATCAGCTTGCTTGTAGGGATGTGTCTATTTGTCAATATTTCGTTTTAACATGCCACGACAATGGCTTCAGCTTTCGGTACTTGACTCAGTGGGTACGAACGGTTCGCTGCATGGCTCCACATGTATTGGTTGTTTCTGTATATCATTTTCGAACCTATTTTTTAGAAGCTTGGTCCTGTTTCTGCAAAAATCATAGAAACAGAAACATGAGAGCTGTTTTTTCCCTCTCATTTTCGTTACTAACTGAATTTAAGTCAATAGATTTCAAGATTGGTGAAGTCACTATGTCAACTGACACGTCTCCAGTTATTGAAAAAATAATAATGTCATTAAATCCAAAAATAAATTTAGAAAAATACGAGAATCAACATGAAGTCGAGAACCCAAACCTAAATGAATGAGCTTCCTCCTACTATTATGTATATACTTGTTCCGTTATGTTGTACTCCTAAAGGTGCTCGCATAGGAGCATGGTGAAATAAACTTTGTGAAGAGGCTAAGGTCGCTGTAATTACCTGATCTTATATACACCAATTAATGCTTAATGCGTATCAATGATAATAATATAATATTGAAAACCAAAGTGATTCTTCTATTCATCTTTTACTTACTAAAATGCTCTCATGCTCTTCGTGTTTCGTATGTGATCCGGACACATGACCTATGCTTATATGAGCTAAAATAACTCACGTCCAATGATACTATCGAGTTTTATTTAAAGATGTGTTATGTTCCTTTGTAATTCATGGATACATTTGCTAATTAGTTTTAGAAGAACAAGAAGTTGATACAATGATATTGGTCTAAATGATTATCTCTAAACATGCTACTAATTCAGCTCATTTTTTATTATAAAAACTCTACCTAGCGCCTCTTTATCAAATTGCTCTATTGTACGAGAGTAAATACAATCTAAGTTGGTGTTTGGTTGCCCCTCCTAAATTTTAGTCGTTGTCTCATCGAATGTTTGGACATATGCATGGAGTATTAAATATAGACTAATTACGAAACTAATTGCATAGTTTGTGACTAATTTGCGAGATAAATCTTTTAATCATAATTAGTCCATGATTTGATAATGTGGTGTTAAACAAACATGTGCTAATGACGGATTAATTAGGCTTTAAAAATTCGTCTCGTGGAGTACTGACGGATTATATAATTTATTTTTTATTAATATCCGAACATTCCATGCAACATCCTCCCGACACACCTCCTAAATTTTAGTCACTGGATCCAAACACCTCCTAAATCTCTCTTCGGGGGGGTAAATATTTTTTTCTAATTTAGTTTTCTTGTTTAGTTTCCATGTTCGGAGTCGTTCCCACGAAGAGCATGAGAGCATTTTACGCCGATGGAGACGCTACGCATTGACCTGCTGGCTCCTGCCGTGCCCACGCCGGCGGACGACGAGTTTCCGCCGATGGAGACGCTACGGTGGCATCCGAGACAAATAGCTTGCTATCCCCTGTGGCTCCAAGCAGTGGCGTGCAAGATGCAACCAATCAAGCAAGTCGATGCATGCATTTTCTCTTGCTCTGATATGATCTCGATCGGATTCATCCGATCGCCCGCCGCCCCGGTCCCACCCGGCACAGCTCGGCCAGTGCCTGCTTGATGCTTGTCCTTTGCCCGTGCGTGCGCGCTCGGGCAGGGAAGGGGGCACCGGGCAGTCGGGCACCACGCGTACGCCCAAGCAACTTGGAAACTAGCAATTGTCGCGTTCATGTTCAGAAAGCTGCAATTTTGATGCCACCACATGCATGTGTCTATTTGTCAATATTTCGTTTTACGCCTTGTTTAGTTGATCCCAAAGTTTAAAAAGTTGCTATATTACCTGTCACATCGAATGTTTACGGCCCGTGTATGGAACATTAAATATAGACGAAAATAAAAACTAATTACACAGTTTGATGAGAAATTGCGAGACAAACGTTTTGAGCCTAATTAGTCCATGTTTAAACACTATTTACCAAATAAAAACGAACGTGCTATAGTAGTCCAAAAATCCAAATTCACCCAACTAATAAGGGCTTAATATTCCTCGACAATGGCTCCAGCTTTCGGTACTTGACTCAGTGGGTACGAACGGTTCACTGCATGGTTTCTGGCGGAAATGCCACAGCAAATATGATAGAAGTGACAGAAGATGGAATCATGATATACCTCCGTTGCAATGTTTGGAAAGAAATAAATAAAAGAATCTTCCAATAAAAATCACTTCAACCATGCCAACTAAGGAGTAGCTATTAGGGCAGTCATAATGAAAAAAACTGATGCGATTTTCATAGCATAAGAAATCATTTATAGAAACTACCTTCCACAGTAAAAATGTCTTTGTGTAATAATTATTTTCTCTTTCTCTCTTCCAACTCTATCTTCTTCCTCCAATGGGAGTATGACACGAGCCCCCTGAAAACTGGTGGTTTCTCCCCAATGGCGATTTCATGGTTTCTTGGTGCATTGGGTCAAGAGAAGACCTGATTTCTTCGTGAGGAAACAATTTCTAGGATTTTTGCTCTCTTTTTTCATTAATTACGTTGCCATGTCAGTATTTTACCTACGTGATAAGTCATTTAATAAGAATAAAAACCATCATCAATATATCATTGGGACTGCCCTCATGTGCAAAGATGATATCCAGCGATACCAGCTTGCAACGAGACCGATCATCAATGACGAGTAGTTTAATTTCTTTGTTCGAGTCTGTTCGTACCCTGGAAGTTTGAGCTGTCTTTTGTTTCGTTAGTTCAGTTCAGTAGCTTAGTAGTGTCTGGCCTTTGCGCCTGGGTGGTTTGGAGTTTGGCCTCTAAAGAAACCTTTTTGTAATTATCGTTTTTCCTTTTTCACCGTCTAATAAAAATCCAGCAAAGCTTCTGTAGTCTCTTAAAAAAATATGCCTCAACAAAAAACAATCGATAATCGATCGTATTTTTACATAAAAGAAGTTTGTATTGATATAAAAAAATACATCAAAATGATCCATTTCATTAGAAATTTAGGCAATTTCGATACTAATTTAATCCAGAAAATATTAACGTTGGTGACGTAAAAAAAGGTGCATGTGTGGTCTAGTTGCAAATAAATTAACGAGCATCATACAATCATGGATTCAAACATGGAAAATAGAAAGCGGCACTACAATAGCATACCCAGCGGCACCAGAGCCGTTTCCACTAGTAGACATAGTGTTTGTTGATGCAGTCATCCCGCTCGATGCCGTGCATGCAGGTTGCAGATCACCACTCCGTTGGAAGAAGTTGCCAAGCCGTCCGGAAGTAGCAGGATGAAGATCGAGCAGTCGCGTGGAAGACGCTCTCCAAAAACTTGATTGTCGGTCTTCATTCGAGCAGATAAACCCAAGAACGTCGCCGGCTTTGGAAGCCTACTCTCTCTAATCCTGTACACGCGGGAACCAGGGCGCGAATTTTCTGGTTGCAGCGGGAGCACTGGAATTATACTCACAAGCCCGCAGTTCAGAAGTCGAACGGATCTGACATATCGGGCACGGTACAGAAACAGAAACTCTTGTAACTCCCGTCTTCTGTCGTGACGGGCCCGTGTACTATCACAATCACGCCATGCTACGCCTCGCCTTGCCTCGGCAGCGGCAGTGCGCCCACATGCGGCATGCCCTTGTCCTCTCTCAACTTCTCAATAGATGTATACACGGTTCACTTATATAAGTTGAGTTAACGTCCGGTCAAAATCTCATACGGGACTAAAACTATATTACACGTAACATTTAATATATGCCCTTAGAATTTATTTGATTTAATTGAATTAAAATAGGCTAAGCCTATAATTAAATCTAACAATCCTCACCAAATACCAAGGCACATATTGATGTTCTCGAATCCACTCTTCTTTGATATACCAGAGTTTCGATGTAAACAATTAACTTAAACATCCATATAGAACCGAGGTTATATTCATTCGCAACTGAACAATGACTATGCCTTGAATTGATAGTTTGGTGCGAAATAAGTTTTATCAAAGTCATTTTCTGGCCCTAAAAGAGTGCTTTGTTAATGACCTCCAACTACGAGAGAGATATAGCTCCCATGTGTAACTTAATTAAGCGTTGCCACTCTCACGTTATTAAACTAAAAACAAGGATATGATATCTTAGGATCGGAGGAGAGCAACCCGCCCGCCAAACCCACAGGAGGATGCATGTTCAATGCTCATGCTAGGAGCACCTCGTCCATGAGCCTGTCCACGTTGCGCATAGATCGTCCGTCGGGCCTCGCCGCGGCCACGGCGCTCTCCTTGAGCTCCGTCACGCGCCGCCGCATCTCCCGCCCTTTCTCCCCCTCCATGGCCTCCCGTATGAGCGCCTCCACCTCGCCCCGCCGGACGTCATTGCCGATCTCCATCCCGATGCCCCACTCGGTGCGCTTGTACCGGCAGTTGGTCTGCTGCTCGGCGAAGAAGGGCCAGCACACCATGGGCACGCCGCCGCAGATGCTCTCCAGCGTGGAGTTCCACCCGGAGTGCGTCAGGAACACCCCCACGGCCTCGTGCTCCAGCACCGCCGCCTGCGGGCACCACGTCGACAGCATGCTCCGGCCCTCCGTCGCGACCAGGAACTCCGGCGGCAGCCCGACGCCAGCAGCGTCGCCGCCGGCGCCCTTGACGAGGTCCGGGCGCACGTTCCACAGGAACGCGAAGCCGGTGTTGGCCAGCCCCCACGCGAACTCGGCCAGCTGCTCGTTGGACATCACCGTGATGCTCCCGAAGTTGATGTACACGACCGAGCGCGGCGCGCGGCCGTGGAGCCACCGGAGCGGCGCGTCCTGCTCCTTCCACAGGTTGGACCCGATGGCCGCGACGGGGCTGTCCGCGGGGACGTTGTTTCGCACCGCCAGCGGGAGCGGGCCCACGGTGTAGATGGGCCGCGACAGGAGCTTCGCCATGGCGTGGAGCAGCGTGGCGTCGAGCTCGTCGAAGGTGTTGATGACCACCGCCGACGCCTGCGACATCCCGGCTACCTCGTGGATGAAGAAGTTGAGCATGATGTCGTCTGGGTCCGTGGTGCGCACGAAGCTCGGGAAGTCCCGGAGCCGCAGGTCCTTGGGCGCGCCGGGGATCCAGTTGACGACGACGGTGTCCAGGTACCCGTCGGTGAGCCGCGCGTCGTTCTCGAGCGGGACGATGCCCCGCTCGACGAGGTGGCGGTAGTAGTAGTAGCCGATGAAGCCGCAGGCGCTGGCAGTCCAGAACGTGGCGCAGCGAAGGCCGAGCTCCCGCGCGCCGCGGAGCGCGAAGCTCATGATGCTGTCGGCGACGACGCACGTCACGGCGGGCCGTCCCTGGGCCTCGGCCTCGGAATTGGTCCTGGCGACGAGGTCCTTGAACCGGGGCAGGCAGGTGGTCATGGTGGAGTAGCAGAGCGCGGGGACGTCCTGCGTGGCGTCGGCGTCGGAGGGCGGAAGGCCGTCGTCGATGGCGGCGAAGCGGAACCCCGGCGCGCCGTCGAGCGCGCCCGGCCCGCGCGCGCGCAGGTGGCGGCGGTGGTTGAACTCGTTGTTGACGAAGGTGATGTGGAAGCCGCGTGTGTAGAGTAGCTTGGCCAGCTGCAGCATCGGCGTGACATGGCCCTGCGCCGGGTACGGGACCATCACCACGTGCGGCGGCTGCTGGCTTCTCTCCCCCTCTGCCGTCGGCAGCGACCCCATGACTGCTCTGGCTACTGGTGGTGGCTACCGCTCCAAGGTCCAAGGCTTCAGCGGAGCCGCTTTGCTAGAATTGGTGATTTTGTCTATGCTGCTGGTGTTCCACTTGAGCTCCTGCCCACGCCGCCTTATATAGGAGTACTAGCGACTAGCACCTCAGTTATTTTGGAAAATCACAACTACTAATTATGATAACGACATACGAAACGAAAAGGCACAGAGCAGAGTCAAGATTTAACAGTAGTCTACTGTTCCCAAGAATGTCACCTAAGCGCTCTCCGTGTCACTAAAGAAAGTCATTAAACACCGACACGGTCTTCAAAAATAGCTTTAACCTCTACATTTTGCTATAAAATATTTATAAAATAAGATCTTTTATAATGGTTGGCATCGCTTTTCCATTGTCTCCACGAATTAGTCATTTTTATTGATTTTATTCGTGGAAGGGTAATGTGGTCATTGCACACAAAACAAAACAAAACCCACGCCGAAGAGGCTGCCCCTAGCCGTCGCCGCCGCCCTGCTGTCTCCCTCGACCTCGCTCTCGCTCGTTGCTGGCCGCCCTGCCTCGCCCTCGCTCGTCGTGGCGGCTGCCCTGCCCTTGCCCCCGCTGCCGCAGCGCCGTTCACGTGAACCTCTAGACTCCGTCGTGGTTGCCGATGTCCGCCGCACCATGAACCTCAACCCTGTGCTGCGGCTCCCGATGTCCTCCGCGTCGGGGTCCCCGACCTCTGCCGCGGCCGTCGACGTCCTCGGCATCAGGATCCCTGACCTCCGCGCCGCCACGGCCGACGGTGTCCTCCGCATCAGGACCCCAGCCTCCACCGACACTGCCCTATCGCCTCCTCCCATCCAGGTATAATCTATGCACTTCCCCATAGGGCATTAGCACGTGCATACACACTGCTTGCGTTGTTGCCCATCTCTAACAAGATCGAAATTTAGTCCGCTGCTGCCTCAACTATGGTAATGTCACTGTCTTCTGGAGGCAATTTGTTCTAGGGTTATGGATCTAGAGGATTCTTGTTCTAATTGGAATTAGAAACTCGTGTATCTAAAAAATGTTTGATTTCTGTTTAGTTAATTTCTTAGATCTTTAATCTGTATCCTTTTAATTGCTCAATGCTTCCTTATTTTAGGCAAGAGTAAATTGCACGGTCGGTCCTTAAAGTATTGGTCTGAATTCGTCTGGGTCCCCAAACTATGAAATCTCACTCTTGGCTCCCCAATCAACTTAATTCAGTCCATGTAGGTCCTAAACAGCCCAGGCGGCGTCAAGCAGTCGACTTGGCTGTCCACGTACGCAGGGGAGGCACGTGAGGCACACGTGACCCTCGGCAGCCATTGGCTTTTTAGCCAACCCCCCCTCCCCGCACGATCTCATCTTCTCCACCTCAGTCCTTTCCTTTCTCTCGAACCTCGACGAAAGGGGGAAAAGGGGCGGAGCGTGGCGATGCCGGCGACTGGTGCTATTCGCGAAGGCGGCACGGGCGGAGAGCGAGGACAACTCGACGGCCACGCCTAGAGGGCCCTCTAGGTGCGGGCGGTGGGGGAGATGGCTGCCGAATCGAGCTCGGTGGCGGCGACCAGGAGGCGCGGTGATGAACCGCGACTGATTACGTGTCCGAGGTGCCATGGTCATAAGGTAGTAATTCGTTCGAAGCAGCCGTGGTCCTTGGATCAGATCTTCTACACCTGCCCATATCACAATGTAAGTTAGGTTTGTCAGTTTGAGTTCATTCCAAATCCGAGTATTAGAGTCCAAGTTTTCAGTATGTGTGCTTTGTCTGTTTGATGAATCTGCAGAAGGATGGAACTGGTTGCCCATTTTTTCTTTGGGAGGCAGGATACATCAACCACTTGGAGACAGAAAGCAGCAAAAGAAATGGCAGCTGGGATGCAATTTGATGAAGTTACTGAGAGCCTGTTGGAGAAGAATGTCGACCTGGGAAATGGAGATGCCACAACTATTGAGGTAGAGCATGCCACAGTTGTTTAGAGCTTAGAACTTTGATCAATATAGGATATGATATTGCAGGGCTCTTGAAATGCATTCTCTGTATATGCTTGATAATTGTAGTTGTGCAACTGCTGCTGGTATTTGTTCAGATGAAGAAGTGAATTGTTAATGTGAAGTAGGTTTGGGGAGTAGGAATGCTTTTATTTATGTGTGAACTTGTAATATTTCCATGTAAGAACTGGTAATGCTTTATGGTATTGATCATGTATGTTATCTGACTGAAATTTATGGTATTTGTGACTGTAATTTCAGAAGAACACATTTCACTTATGCAAACTGCATTGTGATGCTTAGCAACCAAAGTTGTACATCTAGTCATGAAGTTGTACATACAGTCAATTAAGGGATTTGAAAAGTCATAGTTGTAAATGAATATTTGTAATTCATCTTTCTAAGCTTTCGCTCAATCGGCCAAACCAACAGCTTGCAATAATTTAACAGCAGGCTGAAAACAACATCTTGCAATTTTATCTCTCAAAATTATAAGTAATAAATGACAAGAAATGTTCCCATTCTACTATCTACATCTACACATAGCGCTTCACCAAGCTCTGTAATTTAGCTACACCAAGCTTTGCAATTCACAGTTTGGGGGCAGAGCTGTGGTGTAGGGCTGTGCACAATTCACAGTTTGGGGCAAAGCTGTGGTGCATGGCGGTGCACAATCGCTATCCCTGTTGAGAAGCATTGCAATGGTGAGATACTCGAGTCGAAGTAGAGGATATGAAGGTCCTTCGTGATACTCGAGTCGAAGTTGAGAAGCATTGCAATCGCTATCCTTGCACATTAAAACCTGAATTACTCATAAACAAAACTACAAATGGCTTAGCAGTGATTCTGATATCTAAAGGTAACCATAAAATTCTATTGCAAATAAACAGTTATACATTGTGTGGCACCATTACTGTCAGGCCTGCTTTCTCAAGGAACTTCAGGCCCCTGCCACCCAAAACTGCATTGTGATGCTTAGCAACCAAAGTTGTACATCCAGTCATGAAGTTGTACATCCGGTCATGAAGTTTGTAGCCTAAGACAATGGCATTGCATCACATGCATACATCCATCTATACAAGATGTCTAGACTTTTGGCATGCATACTAGTGTTTATGCATTACAAAAGATGTTGCTATCCACAAAAGCAACTATACTGCTACCCTATTCCATGTTGCTATCAACAAAAGGCAACTATATCGCTTTCCTATTCCAGTCACAAAAGTCAAGTTGCCATGTCCATAGTTTCATGCAGCATTTTCAGTCGTGGTCTTCTTCCCTTGAACTCCTCCAGTCTTCTTGCCCTTCTTCGCTCCACCTTGTCCAGCTTCTTTGCTCTTGCCGGCAGTAGTTACTTTCTTCTTGTTCACTCTTGCCCCGCCTGCTTTAGTTGCAACAGTGATAACTACTGGCTTTGCAGTTGGCTGGTTGGACTGAATGAAGGTAGAGTCTAGCAAGGGTCCCAACTGCCGCGGCCTCGACATCAGGATCCCTGACCTCCGCCGCCGCGGCCGACGGTGTCCTCCGCATGAGGACCCCCGCCTCCACCGACACTGCCCTATCACCTCCTCCCATCCAGGTATAATCTATGCACTTCCCCATAGGCCATTAGCACGTGCATACACGCTGCTTGCGTTGTTGCCCATCTCTAGCAAGATCGAAATTTAGTCAGCTGCTGCCTCAACTATGGTAATGTCACTGTCTTCTGGAGGCAATTTATTCTAGGGTTATGGATCTAGAGGATTCTTGTTCTAATTGGAATTAGAAACTCGTGTATCTAAAAAATGTTTAATTTCTGTTTAGTTAATTTCCTAGATCTTTAATTTGTATCCTTTTAATTGCTCAATGCTTCCTTATTTTAGGCAAATAGTTAATTGTAGTGAACATCAGACTGAGGTATACTACAATTATTATGAATTCTTTTTACTTCTTAGTTATGATCCAATTTATTTTAGGTTGTCATGCCTGTTGGTTAAATTTATTGCAGCTAGCAGATGGAGTACCTAGTTTTCTGAAAAATTAATCGCTTGCAGTGGGGAGGATTACTAAAGTTGCTATCTTTAGTTAGGATTTTTGGGAAAAATATACATATGAGTGCCTCTAAATGATAGTGTTAAAAAGCTGAAAACTGGTTCTTAGTTCATAGTTCAGTGACTGTTCAAACTGCAACAAAAAAAATTTAGAATTTATCCTGGTTAAGAACTTGCTTGATGTTCAGAGTTAAACGTGAATGTACACTGGCTTTTGGTTGCCAATGTTATTTTTCATATAGTCGTATGGATTTGTTGCTTTAAATGTTGAAAGTGAAAAAACAGTACTGCTTGATAGGTTGAATAATACATGTTCTTATGGAATGTTAATTATTTTTCTTGTACTGCTGAAAGCCGATCCAATTTTTTTTCCTGCTCAACGTAATAATGCCTCAGTTTCATTAGTGTTTTTTCTTGTTCAGAGCAGTATGGGGAAGGGAAAAACAGAGAGTATTGTCACCGGACACCTTTGGGTGATAATCTGATATACAAAAGGTGAGGTCATTATTATCTAGTGGTATATGCAGAATATGAGATAGGACCCTACACAATTGTGATTTAGTATTGTTACACATTGCAAATTCATTGTCAGTTTTTCTTAGAAAAAATGCAAAGCATACTATGATACTAATACTAACATTTGAAAAGTTTGAGTTGGTGGTGCTTTATTTCTATAGTATTCATGCTTCGACTTAACATTATCAATTTTTCATAGAATTCATGCTTCGACTTGACTTGATTTTTTTTTCATTTCAGAACTAATATATGTGGTATGGTAAATCAGTGTAGCAATAGTCTGTGATCATGTGTGTGTCACCAGTGAATCACGTCCTAGACGACTCTGCGCGTCCTTTTGTTGTCTCCCGACTGATCGTTCTCCATCACCTGCTTTCATGCCATTGAAGCCACAAATCGGTCTCCATCATCTGTCACCGGCTTTCATTTGCCTCTCCACACTTCAC